GTAATTTTCTGAGCAATGTTCACTAAGTTCGGAATCTCCTGTCAACTGACATCATGTAAAATTGTCAAGTGCGTTCAAACTTTTCTGTACATGAACTCAATAGTAATTTGTTTAGGCTGTAAGCAGTAGCTGATGGGAAGTCAACAAAATAAACAAAGGATGGTACAATATTATTCTGTATAAACCAATGTGGTTCTTATTTTACTCAAATTCATAAAGAGGAATACATATATGATGTTATAAGGTTATTGGATATGATCATTATTATTATTTTTGGTTCCGACTAGAACACTTCCATTTTATGCCTTTATTTTCAATCCTGTTAAGCTAGCTCCATAATTTACCATAGTCGTTCATCTCTTACTCAAACGATCTCCCCCATGTCATACTTGCACCCTTGCTCAACCCGTCATTTTCCATCCAGGTTTCACTCAAGGACTAGTCTAGCAAACGATGTCATTCAACAGTCTCCTCAGCGTGTGTCCCATCTATCTTCATTTTCTTCGGCATATTTCGTGGGCAATAGCTTCTTGATCGGCTGGTTGGTATGTTGGTTCATTGTTCCTTGTTACTTAACTTTTCTGGTATTCTGATCTTCACAACTGAGCCGACAAAGACAGCTGGTTGAGGAGAGTCTACAATAGTCTGCTGGAAATGCATTCGATGACGTGTTTGCCAAGTCTCTGAACCATACAAACATTGGACAACCGCATCCAAAGTACGTTAAACAAGCTCACCAAAACTGGACAGATCACAAAGCAAGACCAATGGCGAATAAAATCCAGTGGACCAGTCCTACCCCGATTCTACGGCAGACCCGAAATACACAAGTCAAATATCCCGTTGCGACCAATTGTATCACTCCCAGGAACTCCAACATATAATTTATCCAGAGAATTATACAGAAAACTAAAACATTTAACGGAATCTTGTGATCACTCAATCAACTCTGCTATCCAACTCCTAGAGAAAATCAGAGGTATCCAAATAGATGAACAAGAAATAATGATATCCTTCGACGTCACAGAATTATATACCTCAATCGGACAAAAACTAGCAAAAGAAACCATTGAGCAATTACTTAGCAACGATGAACACCTTCCACAACAATCAAAAATACAACACACAAGCTGGATGGAATGCATAAACCTATGCCTAACAACTTACTTCCATTTCAATGGTCAAATATATGAGCAAGTCAGAGGAACACCCATGGAATCGCCAATATCAGGTTTGATTGCAGAAGTAGTTGTGGAAAGCCTCGAAAACATAATTTTACCAAAGATCAAACCCATGATTTGAATACGTTAAGTCGACGAAACATTTGCAATAATCAAAAGAAACGAGTTAGATAAAACTCACAACTTAATAAACAAAGTCTTTAACGACATCAAATTCACAAGTTAAGATGAATCCGAAAACCAAATCCCATTTTTGCACGTCTTAGTCAACCGAACAACCACAGGGGAATTAGAAACTCAAGTTTATAGAAAATCAACTCACACAGACCAAAACCTGAATTACAACAGCAACAATCCAATAATATACAAAAGGAATTGCATATAAACACTCTTCAAGAGGGCAAGGACTCATTGAAGCAATCCCACCTTAAGGAAAATTGAAGAAAGATATCTCATGGACGTCTTCCAAAAGAATGAATATCCACGGAACCAGCATCATCTACAAAATAAATTGTAACAATTGAGAAAAACAATACATTGGCCAGAGTGGACGTACTCTTCGTCTTCATATCCACGAACATAAGCTAGCAGTCAAAAGACATGATATCCACTCCCTCATATCACTACATACAGACAACCACGGACATCAATTCAACTGGGACAACGTTCAAATATTAGACAGAGGAAACAACAAGAATGCTAGAGAGTTTTTAGAAGCCTCCCCGGTATTCTAGTGAATCATCAATCGATAGACATATCGAGATCGAGAAAATTTATCAACCGATAAGAAAGAAACCTCACGCACAATGGGTCAAAGTTCAAGTCAAAGAAACAATCAGTTACAATACAAGTAACCTAGAGCGTATGAAAACCCGCAAAACGAACCAGTCACGGTCAGGGTCAACAGGAGAAGATGATTATTAAACTCGTGGAGAAGTCTAAAAGCTCACTTCAAATTGAAGTATGCGCTGAAGATGTCGCCTAGTAGGGCGATGAAAGCTTCGCAAATTAACTATCAGCTCAGAGAACACAACCATATAAAAATCATCTATCTAATCTATAAATCTTCTCTATCATATCCATAAAGAATCGCTGACTGACTTGACATTAATGTTAAAAATCCAAATATATTTATTTATGCTGCGGCAGTGTGCAGCAGATTTCTACGCTGATTATAGATCAGTGAAAATCTGTCTCGCCTGCCTTCTATATCTTCATCCATTCCACCTTTAGCTGAAACGCTGCTCATAGCCTAGATAAGTGAAGGGGGTAACCTGTGTCAGATCACTCCCGTTGATGGTGACTGGTGCTGGTTGTTGTTGTTGTTGCTGTTGTTCACCCGCAGTTCTGTATTCGCTACCTGCCGCTTCTTCAGCCAATTTGTTGGTTTTCCCCTGTAAACAAAACATCCATGCCTGAAATCCATATTTTCTAGAGTCCTCTCATTAGTCCAGTATATTATTTCTTTTCACTCCCCACACACTATCTTCCGCACATTTCAGTTCACCAGAATTACGGATATCATCCGTGGTAAAGATAGGCAGGCAGACTTGACTCACTCTTGTATTCACTTCGAACGCCTCGCTGGACTTTCGTTGTAAATCACCTGACACGCGGCGCTGTCATGTAGTCAACCGTACAATGTTTTCACCTCCAGCTTCTTCAGCGAGTTTTATTTTTCGTTGCCACCTGTAAGTTTCCGCGTTTGTGTGACATTAGACATAAATAACGTGAAAAGTTCAGACTTTTTAGAGTCTTCCTACCTATCCAGTGTATTCCTTTCATCTCATTCTCTATGATCTGACGCATGATCCAGTTCACCATAATTATGAATGTCATCACTGTGCTTTCAATTTTCCATAGAGATTGGGCTGATCTTCCAGCGCACAGTCTCTGGCTCTAAAATTAGCGTCCAGCTGCTAAGTGAGAGATTCCAGTCCGACTTTCGATCAGTAAGCACTCCTAAACCACCTAGCTAATAATAAATCTTGAAGAGAGAGAAAGTTAGGCGTGAAAATAGCAACCTCACGAGGTATAATATCATCACTACTACTGAAATTTCAAAGCCTGAACCCCGTGTGCTTCACTTTGAATGCAAAAGAAGAATGAATGAAGATTGACGATAAGTTCAGATATAAACGAATAAAAGTGGTTGTTAATTGTTTGGGTCATTCTGATGTAGTTGACGGAATCGGAAATTAATCAGCGTTTGTTACTGATAACTATATAAGTTAATCAGTAGTATAATATTGGTCGGATTTTCTTACCTTACTTTCACTTGACCTAAATAAACGTTTCTCTCTTCACCTTATCAAATAAATAATATATTTAAAAAAGTGTGAGTATAGTTCACAAATTCATACATGATCTAATTTAAAGCAATTAGTTCCCTTTGTGAATTTCGGCAACACTCTAAGAAGACGTAGTTTATTTGAAACGTGTAATGTATTGGCGCAACCCATTTCGGACATTCTGATCACGCACGTACTTGTCATACACCGTTTTTATAGAAGACAAAAAGGCATGAATAATTACAATACAGTTCAAGGGCTACAGAACACATTCCAAAGTGGCTGCGACAACAAATGAAATCGTCAGACACAAGTGACCCCGGAAATAGATGTCCAACATCATCTAAAGCGAAGCATATTATGGAGACGGAACATAATGTTGATTTCAACAATGCCTACTAGCCGATATATAAAACAAGGTTGGGCAAAATACTTAAATTCATTGAAGCCTTAGCCATAAAAAGACTTAAACATGTCTTATGTGTCCAAAAGTTATTTGTTATCACCTTAAACCTACCTGCCTTGCAAATCCAAGTTAGACCCAAGGACCAATTTACTTCATAATATTTTCAAACCCCTTCTTTGCCTTGTTTTTACTCTTTTTATCTTTCTTACCCACACTTTATGCGTCCCCCTACCCATTATTTGTGACCTTGACCTGCACACAATCTGACCTGTTTTGTAATTATTCATGCCTTCTTGCCTTCCATAAAAACTGTGTATGACAAGTACGCGTGTGATCAGAATGTCCAAAATGTGTTGCGCAAATACATCATACATTTCAGATAAACTTCGTCCCCCAAAACCCTTTTTCTGACAGAAATAAAAGTTTCAGGATTTCATCATGAGCTGACATTAGTTACAGAACCATTGGAAAACCTGGGAGTACTGGACAGCTGTTTCGTCCTAGTTTGGGACTCTTGATCAGTACGCACACACCGGGATTCGAACCCAGGACCTTCCGGTTACAAGGCGAGCTTGTATACCATTAGCCACTGGGACCCGATCCAATGGTCCTTGAATTCTAACTTCTGCCAATTCACGACATAGCGCGACCGCTAGCCAATGTCTTCGGCGAGTATTTGTCCTCACACCCGACCAGCTGCACCCTACTGGTCACGACTTCCCACTGGAACCCAGGTAACTACCTACCTGAATAGGGCCAGTCGCCAGTGAGCATCTCATTGGTATTCAAGTTGGTGGTTGGAAATAAAAGTGTTATTTCAAATATTTATGCGCACCTTTAAAAAAAGCCAGTCACTATGGAGCGATAGTTGTGTGATCAGAAAGTCCGAAATTGGTTGAGCCAATATATTACACGTTTCAAATAAACTACGTCTTCTTAGTGCGTTGTCAAAATTCCTACATGATCCTCTCTGATGCCAAATGACTTAAAAATTCCATTTTTAAACCATGAGACAGTCTACGTTGTAACATTTATCTTAAGGCGTTAATTTCAAAACTGTATAATTTCATTTAGAAAAAGAAATGATAACTGTGAAGCAGTTCATAGAGAAATGCCACTCACCAGAGCGATACGAAGTAGAGAATACCATATTTTCCATGCGTCTTCGCTAAGAGCACACATTTCAACAGTCATTCGTGGATCTACATGTTGACTTGAATTAGGCTATAAGATTTACAAAATAGAAACGCAGATATCACGAAATAGGCTATGAATGAGAATTGTACAGTATATAACTTCATTTCAAAAGATGAAAAGGTATGCCAGTTAAAGAAGGTAATACGTCTTTCTACTGAAGAAAGAAACAAACAAACAAAACCTGAGTTTTGTAGGAAATTTTGTTTGATTGGTTGGAGGATTTCATCATGAGCTGACATCAGTTAGAGAACCACCGGAAAACCTGTGAGTACTGGACAACTGTTTCGTCCTAGTTTGGGACTCTTGATCAGTACGCACCCGCTGGGGTTCGAACCCAGGACCTTATGGTGGGTGCGTAATGCTGAAGAGTCCTAAACTAGGACGAAACAGCTGTCCAGTACTGCCAGGTTTTCTAGCGGTACTCTAACTGATGTCAGCTCATGATGAAATCCTCCAACCAATCAAACCAAATCCCTACAAAACTAATACTTGAAAATTAATCCGATGCTGAATAGCTACTGGCTCTATTCAGGCAGTTAACCTGGGGTTCTTATGGGAAGCCGTGACCAGTAGGGTAAAGCAGGTTGAAGAGGAGGCAGTAACTCATCTAAGAAGACATTGCGAAATGGTAACGCTATGTCGTGAATTGGCAGAAGTTAGAATGCATGGGCTGGCAAATGGATTGGATCCAAGTTGCCTAATGGTCTACGAGCTTACTAGCCTTGTAACCAGAAGGTCCTGGGTTCGAATGCTAGCCATGGGTGCGTGCTGTGAAGAGTCTCAAACTAGGATGTGGGAAACAGGTGTTCGGTAGTCCCAGATTTTCCAGTGGTTCTCTAACTGATGTCATCTCATGATGTAATCCTCCATGCAAACAAAACCTGAGTTCCACATACTGGAGTATTTAAAAAAATCTACTTTTCTTATTTCAAACTAATACGTATTACTTGAGATCAATTGGTGAATGGTGACTAGCAGTGGAACCCAGCCACGATACGCATGTCATCCTACTCCAGACTCGTCAACTGGATGAGATGGGATTCTCCCGTGAGTGATGGTGTTCCATAGAGGCTCTAACCTAGTGGCCATAGTTTTGAACGCCATGGCATGCCATTGGCATTGGGACGCTATCATTGACTGGAGAATGCAAGTGCATCCGGTTGAAGAGTCTTGATTAGGACGACATGCGCATCGTGGCTGGATTCCCCCGCTAGTCACCATCCACCAGTTGACTGCAAGTTGCATGAGCAGAAATCGCCGAAGCACCTGCACAAGCAGGCGACAGGTCAACCTGAGGCCGAGCACTTCGGTCCAATCAATCGACGGGAAAATCTAAATTGAATTAAATTATTATGCATTACTGTTGACAGGAAACGTAATTATTTTGATGTGATGATCATCAAGTTAAAGAATAGCGACTCAGGAGTGTTAACGCATCGACAACCCTTATCACTGGTAGATAGGCTAACGATGAACTTGATTACTAACTGAAGTTTTCTAGGAAATAAATAGTGTTTATTTAGGAAAGATTCTGGCTTTCCTGATTGGTTGCTTCTTGGCTAGTTTTGCGTTCGTATCGCTTGAATGGGCATTCTTTTTATTTTTCTGTAGTTGCATTCTCTGACCTGAATGGTCTAATTGTGGAACGCTCATTATCCTTCCAGAAAAAGCATCTTCAACGTAGATTTCAGTCAAATAATCTAATAAAAATGTAGTAACTGGGAAATTTTGCTAAGCTGCCTGAATTGAATAGCATTGTCTTTAGATGTTCAGAGGCATATATTTGAAAATCTTGCTGGACTTCTACCTCAGAGTTTCCGCCATTCATTAGCACAGAGTATTTGTTCATAAGACAGGAAATTGTTTCAGGCGTTATCTAAATCAGGGACTCTGTTATTACGTATATCAGGTTATGTATAACAGCTTAAAAAATGGAGTGATGCAGATTTGACAGGAAGAGACATTTCAAGTTAAATAGTTGTAGAGGTGAAAGTGTTTGTTCTTCAAATCTGGATTTAGTTTATTTATGATCGGACACTAGTCAGTAACTAGTTCTACCTATCGGTCAAGTTTGCAATATAGCCACCATGTTAGATAGCTTGCCGTCATGATGCACTGTAAATTATTGGTATTAGATGGTTGGAGGCAATCGGCAGGAGGTCTTGAACATAGGTTTTGTGCTAGTTGGCACACTAGTCAACACTAGTTAATACCTAGTGTCCAATACAGTCCTACAGAGGTTCAGTGGGAACGTCTGTGACTGCAGCATTGGCTGATGATACAGCCAAGGATCTCAGAAGGGATATACGTTCCTGTCTGGTGAGTTCCAGCTAGTATGAAACCATCTAATACTAACAATCTATTGATTTAGTTTGTGTCGTAGTCGTAATCTCAATGACAACCTTTTATAAACTTAGTTCAACTGCAAAGTCCGTTACCTAGCCTGTTATCTTCTTCCGGTACAATAATGCTGTGGGATTCGTTCATACCGCTTGCTAAATAATAATAAATATGGTCTTTAGTCCTGGTGTAACAACAGAAGGCAAGGGCTGTCAACAGATCGTTTTATTATGAAAATCAACACGTATTTATACATATTTCACATACATTATTATAGACAAGCGCAGTCATCTGATTGGTTGTTTATTAGAAGTTAGGCAGACAAACGCAGGCTTCTGATTAGTTGTTTCGGGATTCCTTGACAAATAGAGTTCTCTATCTGCGAATCATATTTTGCCACGTTAACTTTGCTGTGATTGGTTGTTGACTCAGCCTTGTTCATATTTTCTCACGGCCCATATTAACGTAGCTTAGTGTCAACCAATCGGCTAGCAGCCTGCTCTCACCACACTCGTCCCCCGTCAAATACGTGCGACTGAAGTCGGCTTGATCTACTTGGTGCAGGCGTCATCGTTGGCTTGTCTCGCAGTATCCATTTCTGGAGCTCGCTGACGTTCATGCGCCTCTTTTTGTTCGCTATTGAGACTGTTTCTGCGTAACCCCATCTCGAAGTGACCATATATGGTCCTTCCCACTTTGGAAACTGTTTGCCTGACCCTGTCGAACATTCGTCCATACTTCGGCTCACACTTTCATATGCTGCTTTCACCCGACCTCCCAGCAGCGTCCCAAGTAGCAGCTCCATCGCTGACAGATCTTGAACGCCACTCAACTGCGCAGAAGCCTTGAAGTCCTGCCCGAAGATCCATATGTCTCCATCGAAAACAGCAGGGCATAGGTTTTCCATTTGTCGGTAGGCAGCGACACCAAATGTAACAACAGAAGACAAGGGCAAGGCAACAGATCGTTTTATTATGAAAATCAACACGTATTTATACATATTTCACATACATTATTATAGACAAGCGCAGTCATCTGATTGGTTGTTTATTAGAAGTTAGGCAGACAAACGCAGGCTTCTGATTAGTTGTTTCGGGATTCCTTGACAAATAGAGTTCTCTATCTGCGAATCATATTTTGCCACGTTAACTTTGCTGTGATTGGTTGTTGACTCAGCCTTGTTCATATTTTCTCACGGCCCATATTAACGTAGCTTAGTGTCAACCAATCGGCTAGCAGCCTGCTCTCACCACACTGGGTGTTAGCTAGTATCTATGAAATATTTCCTTTAATTCCTAGAGGAATATACGGCTTCAGTTGCACGTCTTATTGCGTTTATTACTTGAGGGCTTGTCTAGTGATGTCACTTGATGGTTTCCTCAGAGTATGGCTAGCTAATCCACCTCCATTTCTTCCTGCATATTTGTTGCACAATCGGTTTCTGCTGAGTTGGTTCGCTCATTGCCAGAGATCCGTGTCGCTGATCTTTCCTGGCCGGCCATCTGATCTTGAGTATTGATCAAAGACAGCTGTTGATGAAGGTCTGTGGTTTGTTTGAGGTGCTCTTTATGACGCACAGTGCAATTCTCTGATCCGTATAGTGAGTAGCACTGACTGATTTCACATTGGAGTTGAAAATCCGGATCTTATTTTTTACACTGAGTGCTGTTGGCCTCCACACAGACTTGACGTGAGTAATGAAAGCTTGTCTTGCTTTTCCGATCCTTGCTTTGATATCCTCGTCAGTTACATCCGCCGGTAGTTGAAACAACGCTTCCCAGGTAGGTAGATAAAGGCGGTTGTTTCTTTAAGGTTCCTCCAACTTATGCTAATTGTTGTCTGTTGTTGTTGTTGCTGTTGGCCAGGAATCTTCATCACCTCGTTTTATCTATGTTCACCTGAAGTCTCATCTTCTCTGGATGCTTCTTCTGCCAACTTGTTGCTTTTCACTTGCATATCTTCCAGTTTGTGGGAAATCAGACATATGTCATCATCGGCGAAGTCCAGATCCTCCAAGTATTTTGCGTGGGTTCATTTTATGCCTGTTTCCTCGCCGCCCGCTGTCTGTCGCACTATCCAGTCTACTGCAATCAGAAAATTCATTAGAGACAGTATGCAGTCAGCCTTGTCTTACTCCGTCTTTACTTCGAAGGATTCTGTAAGTTTCTCGTCGTGGATTACTTTGCATGCAGCATTGTCGTGCAACTGTTGAATGAGATGCATAATTGTCGGCGGCACCTTGTAGTAGCGAATTAGTTGGCAAATCACCTCTGGATCGACGCTGTCACCAAGCTAAGTGACATGACATGATTGATTTCATTTTTAATGGTAATTATAAATCTGTCAATGACTAAAAGTGATAACGGTAGCCAACTCTGATTGTTTAAACATCACTTAAAAGATATCCGCAGTGAAGAACTAGGTATGCTTACTGAGTTCAACAAATCATTTGAGTAACCTAATTACTGTAGTCATTTCAAGTTGAACCTTGCAATGGATAGTTTCAAAACCACCAGGGAGTACTGGACAGTTCCTTTATCATTCACGAGTCTTAACCAGCGCTCACCAACAGGCCATCGAATCCATGACCTTTCGGTTACAAGGAAAACTCATAGACCATTCATTGACCACTGGGACCCGACTTGTGAATTCCAACTTATAACAATTCGCAATTTTAACACTACCAACTGCCAGTGTCGCCAGTTTGTACTTGTTCTAAAATCTTCAACCTTATTGCCTCCAACGGTCAGGAAATCTCGCTAGAGCTTTGGACAGCTCCGTCGTGTAGTCATTCACTAATGAGCATCAGATTCATTTTCAAGAATTAGTTTTGTAGAGATTTAGTTTGTTTCAGGTTAGATCAGGAACTGCATTTAGTTAGAGAATTGTTGAAAACCAACAAAGGCGACTGGAGAATATCATTTCATGGCAAAGTTAAACTTTTGACACCACTAACAACCAATCAGCAAACGACCTTGAACGGAAAAATCACATTAAAGAGGCATATATGATAAATGGAAACGTATATTTATAGAAAAACAGCATAAAACTGTTACAGGGGGTATCTTTCCCTAACATGTGAGAGAAACATCTCCCAGTTAAGCATCGGACTGTCAATAGAAAAGTTACACTATATTCTGTACATATATTCATCCAAATGACTATAAATGAGATCGTTTTGAGATCCATTTATAACCCTTATCCTATTTTTCAACCTGCCCTAAAATCCTTCAATAGAATTTGTATGTGTCCTCGTAACGGGATCGACAAAATCACTTGAATGGTTGACTCTCTGATGAATATATATCAGAGGTCACAGGGAATTTTAAACTTTCTATTTGTCCGTATGTATTATAGACCGTCGTTATACAAGTCTCGTAATAATAGGTATTAAAGTAGTTGCTTTTCTGTCTGCTATCCCTTCGACGAATCCCTTTCGGAGGGAGGTGTCATACAAACGTATTACGCAAATAAAGTTCGCTTGCTGCCTACCACGGTTGTATTTCTTTTTTTCACCAACACAGTTTCATCGACGTGCACAACAACGTCTTCTCCACCCAACAAAGAAGTGATTTTCTCTATTTTCCAAGAAGCAATATCTCTGCAATACTGATACCATTGAACTATTGAGACGAAGCTATTCTCCGACTCAGCAGCTGTGGCTGTCGTTGGCTGTTTCAGGACTCAGTAGTTGCAGATATACAAAATTTGCGTTAAGGAGAGGTGTGACCTTGCAAAAAACGTTCCTACGAAATATTGAAATTATCAGCTTCCCCTCTCTAATGCTAACCCGCTTCAAGCATATTGCACAACGATGGACAAATCCATCAGTTGACCTGCTAAAGCTTTTTAAAGTCATGACACCACCACACGAACAGTTCTCTCCGTGCAGAGCAAACCTACATCCAGGCAATGCTACAAAACCCCATCCTCCTAAAAATTTAACCGTAACCTTGTAAGGGCACGCATTTCAAATGAATCAAGCACTATACAACATTGAACTAATGTTCATAAATCTCACTGGACAATTTGACGTCGTTCGCTGATTGGTAGTTAGTGGTGATTAAAGTTTAACTTGGCTCGTTTCGTCCTACTTCAGGACTTTTCAGCACCCACCGGGTTAAGATTTCGAATTACGTTTTAAAGATATTTGTCTTATCACGCTTATTTATTTATTTGTATAGTAATTTATCCTCTCCAACACCGTGGCATGTTAAGACAATTTAACCCATTCTATAATCAAAAACATGCACCATTTGTTAGATTGCCTCTTAGATGCAAACCCTAACCCCCTTGATACTTAGAATGACTACAGTGATAGTAAAAGCCTGATTTACAATAGAAAATTAAAACAAATAGCTTCTGATACATTCACTAAAAGGTAACTGGTGGAAGTTATAGTTGATGGGTTACTAAATTCCCTACTCCACCCCCGAGCGGTTGAAGTGCTGACGAGCTGTTCTTGCAATCTAAAGTTCCTAAGTTCTATTTTTCGTGGAGTGATGATTGCTTACTACTGAAGAGCAATCTGAAATAAGGACGAAACAATACTGCCTAGTTCTCTAACTGTAGTCAATTCATGGTTGGTCTTTAAAAATACAAAATTCATCATCCATACACAAAGTTCAATAAATTACTTACCCGTATAACTAATCGAAATGGAGTTGGCAATTCTGAATCATTCTGATTCGCCATTGTACAAAATAAATACAAGTTTGGTTGAAATATATTCAAACGTCTTAGAGAATTTTTCTTCATTATCATAGTCCCATCACCAACCGGATTTTATTTTTGGATATAGATAAGGCGACGAAATTGAATAAAACAAAATTAAATCAATTTTACAGTGAAGGGTGTGAATAACAATTACAATTTATACACTATTCATTCATGACAAGTATATTTCACGTTTAAAGTTATTTTTATTTTATTTATTTATTTTTTTGTTTTTATTTTTTATTTACAGCTTGATTCCACACTGTATTTTCGGTACAAGTATGGAATTTTCAGCATGGATATCGGTAGCCCAAATTTTGCAGGCCAACCATAGATATCAGGTGTGCGCCGGACCATGAGCATGGTCGGCGAGAGTCCTAACCACTGTGGATAGTGACTACCAGTAGTACCTGGAATGTTCATTTCGTCCTCTTTTGGCCTCTTCAGTATTCTCAATGAGACGCAAACCCTTCATCTATCGTTTAAGAAAGCCAAAGCACTACCCACTAGATCATGTGGGTCACGCTAACCGCATTTTCTGCAACTGGTATTAGAAGCTGATAGAATTTTCTCTACGGGTCAAAAACTTGTCGTGTACCTTATGAAAGACATTTCTAACAGCTAGCAGCAGATTTTAATAATAACGGCTTCCCTGGGTCCATGATGAAGACAAAATGGCTGATCAGAAAAAACGTAGCAACCAGAAACTCTAGAAATGGAGGAATAAAGAACCTTTTGCTCAACAAATATTTCAAAAAAATGGAGGTGGATAGGATACACGTGTGAAGTACGTTACAATATGATTGTACAATTTTTGTTTGTACATGACTTTTGTTTAAAACGATTTATGTTAAGTTTTCGCTTGACAGTACTTTCGCGTAAAACTCTCCGGTATGCTTTAGGGCGTACACATATTTCTTGTTTAGCATATTCATTTTCATCGAGATTATCGAATTCTGGATGTAACAGAAGAATATCGTCTATTTGGCTCTTTCCATGGCGTTCTTCGTCACTGTGTACAAATTAATAATATAATCCACTGAAGCGTTCACTGTTGGAATCGTGTCTACTGTGTGCCGGTTGTAGAGTTGTCTTCGGATGGGGATAATAGGTTCCTGCAATAAATCCAAAGTATACAACACGGTATGAGTGGAGCAGGTAGACAGTAATGACCAGTGAGAAGGTGAAGCCATCAACAGTACAGTACACTGTATTTTTATTGTACTCGGAGGTTATCTGTATTTAAACATGAATCGTTCTAAGCAAAAGTCAACTAAAATGTCTCTAATTTCAACATCTAACAAAAAGTGTACAGTCATATTGTTACGTACTCCACACACGTTTAGGACACTGCTGGGAGAAATCCAGTGCTAGGTTGGCGTTTAAGTTGGCAAGGATCCGAGGTTGATATGTAGGAGATAAGTTATTCTCCTGTTTATCTTAGCTTCTTCAGATGATGAAGGAGATTCGACGTTCTAGTTACAAAGCATTCAATGTACCGATTTCTGCTGTAGTGATTACACGCTAGCATGAAAGTCGTTCTTGTAAAAATAAATGAACACACAAATTCATGTATACAAAATTCATTAACTAGAGGAGAACTTGATGTAAACCAGTGAACTCTTACTAATAAGATATGAGATGAATGATTGAATAGCCAAGTAAATGAGAGGTGATGTAATACACTCTTAACGATTTCTAATGTAATCACTTACATCGAATGATTTTTGTTTACTGAAAAATAAACCATCTGGATTTATATGAAGATATCTTCTTTTCCATTTTGTTTCACCAATACGTAGATATAACTGATCTGTATGCGATGGTAATGTGATGCTTTCATTTCGATTGAAAATGTTCTTGAAAAAAAAGAGCATTAAAAGAAAGTAAAATCGAATGAAGTGATTGGTAGTTAATTTAAGGTTATTTACACAAAATGTTCATTGGATTGTAATCAAAGTGTATTCAACAAAATAGAACTAAATACAAACAGACTCTTTTAAGAAGTGAAATCCTAAAAATTTGAAATTCGCTCTGGTTTACACTAAAACCAAAATCTTATATACCTTCAAGATTCTACGGTCAACCAAAGATACATAAACCACAGTTCTATTAAGACCAGTAATAGATTTCACCAACTCCCCCAACATACAACCTCTTTAAATACTTACTCTCGATACTACAACCACTACAAAAGATAATCAAAATATTATAAAAAATTCATATGATTTCAAATCCCAAATAGAACACCGAGAAATTGATAAAGAAGACATTATGGTATGCTATGATATTAACTCACTATATACTAGCATCCCTATTACCGAAAGTCTTGATATCATTTCCAGTCTACTAGAATCAGATACAACACTATCACAAAGATGTCCACTGGACACCATTGAAATAATTAAGAGCTTAAAATTCTGTCTAGAAAGTAATTATTTTACATTTAAAGGGAGTTTACATAGACAGACAAATGGTGTTGCTATGGGTTCACCAGTCTCCCCAATAGTCGCCGATCTTTCGATGAATAGATTCGAAGATAATACCTTTTTAAGCATACTCACTCCTAAAATATGGTTAAGATATGTGGATGATACTTTTGTAGTGCTAAAACGAGATCTACGCAGTTTATTCTTAGAGAAACTGAACAACCTATCTCCCAGAATCCAGTTTACTTCAAAAGCAGAATCAGACGTCGGTGAACTAACATTTCTAGGCTGCCTGGCTAGTTAAAAGCAGGGAAAACGGACATTTTAGTATATCTGTGTTCAGGAAGAAAATCCACTCAAACAAATATTTAGACTTTGAATCATCATAACACATCCGGCAAAGTATCAATTGTTTCAAGTTTTCTAAGGCAAGTACACTCTTTGATGTCAACGGATGAGAAAGAAAAAGAATTACCAAACATTACTTAGACTGTCAATGAATTTCACTAACAAAATCAACGCTGACATTAGGTATGGTCGAAAGGGTTTTCCGAAAACATGGACCTCAGCAATTGTCTTTACACAAAGATCAGAGACGTCAGACGATATCAGAAGAGTACTCAATAAGTTCAACATCAGAGTTTTCTTCAAAATGTCAGACACACTGCAAAGCAACCCTGTCCATATATAAGACCAAATCCATAAAGATTCTATATCTAATTGTGTCTATAAAATAAAATACCTGCTTGGAATGTGATGTGATATACATTGGACAAACATCGCCAGAGAGAAATCAAAATCAGAAGAAATGAACAACGTAGAGTGAGTGTCTATTCGACCATCGAGGAATCCACTTAGTGAACAAGAAAAGCTTGAGAAATCATCAGCCATAGGTCATCTACACACTACATTATAGAATCAGGTCACAAAATTGATTTTTACAATATTGAAAAACTTCAGAAATCACAAAGAACATGTAATATCAGAAGCACTTTATATCAAGTGGAATCGAAATTGACTGATGAATAGAAATGCTGGACTAAAACAGAATTTCACCTGGTTACAACACACACACACACACACCAAACCTCCCCCATGAAATGACAAAATCAACACAAATGCGATGAACAATTTCATTATGTAAACACACTTTGCTTTTATAATTTTACACACTTATCAAATCCAACAATCTACACACCTGGTTTTGTTATCTTTACCAATTGGTCAATTCGACAATGCAAAAATAACCCCATGCTGAGAAACGACGATGATTAGACTGTTATATATAAGCTGAGATTTTGTTAATTCTTAATTAATAATACTTCGATAAAGCTATAAGCATTAAATTACGAAACATCAGTAAAAATAACAATATCGTCCCTTGTTTTTCATTCATAGGGAAATTCAAAAAACCTTTACTATGATGAATATCACATACCCAATGCCCAAATTTTTTCAAATTGTTATAAAGTGAACTTGGTTTGGACATATATAGTCCACGTACTGTTTCACTTTCATTATTCTACCTGACTCAGGCTTACTGCAGCAGCTATGGTTTACTCTGAAGTCGAACAGATCACACTCTGAAAATAAGTTTTCTGATCAAATTTTTTACCAATTAGGTGATGCTTAAACTTTAAAAAAAAATTTCTCTTTCTAGTGGAATGATCCCATCGTTATTCTATAAAAAACAACTATGTAGCTTTCATTGGTCAGATTCATTTCGGAGTTAGTCATTAACAAGCAGCTCTTATGTATGTGCACCGTTGAAGGCATTCTGATCAGCAGAAAACTTCTATTCACTTACTGTCTTTTTGTTTTCAATCCCTATGCAAATGATTTTGATTCGTGTCAAATTTCACCTTAATGTTTACATAATTTGACGAGCTAAATGGAATTGAAGAGGAAAATATTGAGATTTAATTTAATTTTAGATTTTCCCGTCGATTGATTGGACCGAAGTGCTCGGTCTCAGGTTGACATGTCGGCTTTTTGTGCAGATGCTTCAACAATGTTTAGGCATTTAATTAGAATTTACTTTGTCGATGGTGACTAGCACTGGAATTCAGGATGCGCATTTCATCCTATTTTGGACTCTCCATCCGCATTTACCAGTGAGTGATCATGTTCCCACCGATGCTCGAACCCAGTGCCCATAGTTTTAAACGCCATGCGTTATCCATGCCCAATTAGTATTAATTTTTTGTTAACACCTTCGGAAATTAATAAATTCCATGGCAGGAGTTAAATAGGTGTGGGAACATGATCACTCACTGGTAAATGCGGATGGAGAGTCCGAAATAGGATGAAATGCGCATCCTGGATTCCAGTGCTAGTCACCATCGACAAATTAAATTCTATATATTGAGATTATTACTTATCTGCATGATATTTTTCGCACCTCAATTGCTAGATATATCAACCTTCTTTAATGTCTTCAGGAATTCGAGGTTCTTATTTTGAAAAAAAATTAAATGTAGCTATAAACAGATGATAATAATACCAAAACGTACACTCATTTCATATGTCAAATCTATTTACAGTGCATAAACAATATTTATTTTCAAGTGTTACTTTAAAGCAATTTAATTGGTCTCGAATTTGTAAGGATTTGATTTATTCAAAGTTTTAGCACAGATTGATATCAGTTAAGGAACCAATGGAGTCTTGGAGAACTGTTCCGTCTTAGTTTGGAACCCTTCAACAGTACACACCCATGGTACCATGAAGAAGTAATCCTGAGATCTGCAAGTTACATGTCTGGCCTATTGACCATCCAACTATGAGGAATGATGAAGAGATCCAGACAAGTGTGAAACTACTGTCTAGTACTCCCTGATTTCTGTTGGTTCTCTAACTAGGGTCAGTTGATGATCAAACTTGAAACTACTCAGTTCCACACAGTCTAAGACTTGAAAGTGATACACTTGATCTAGGGAGTAGATGAAGCAGAATTTCAGATCGGGTTGATTAATTAATACGGAGATCGAATCGCAGAACCTTCAGCTTACAAGGCCAACTCGTTAACTAATCAGAGCTTCGGATGGAAACTGATGGCCCTTGAATTTTGGCTTCTATCGGTTCGTGATTTTTACCCCCCACCGCTAGCCGGTTTCACCAATGAGTATTTATTCTAGTTAGAAGTCATGACAACTGGGCCACCCTCAGGTCAGATGTGAGGGTGAATACACACAGATGACATTGGCTGACGATGGCACTAAAAAAATGACAGATCGATAGAAGTTAGAATCTACAGGTTATTAGATTCTGTTGTAGCAGCTGAATTATCAGTAAGCTGGTCTCGTAACTTGAAGGTCCGGAGTTAGATTCCTAGCGATGGGTTCATGGACGTTTCCTGCTCAACAGTCCCAAACAAGGTCGAAATAACTCTCTAGCACCTCCTAGTTTTCAATACTTCCTTGACTAATATCCCGGCTCCAACCGAAATCTACAAGCGATACTACTTACCTTATTTGAATTAATATTAGTAGTACCATAGTGTTCACCCAACCAATTCTGTGCAATATTTGTAAAGAAAAAGAAAAAAAATACGTGTCAGTAAGTCTCTTAGATTTAGTGCAGATGAATTAATAAATTCCATACGTACACAAAGATATCATCTGAATACATACATACATACATCAGACTGCAGAAAACATCTCATTAAGTTATGCTTCATAAGGTTCGACACGCTGGGAAGGGAAGTATTTTGATGACTCAGCTATAATTATCTAATTCATTAATTAAATAATTGATCACTTAACTATGAACCAGTTTTCTTCTTCTAAAATATAAATCATAGTAGATTGTGTTTTTGTAATTGTATTATTATTATTATATCCTTTAATTCCTGGAGGAGCATAGGGCTTCAGCTGCGCGTCTCCACTGCCTTCTGTTTTCTGCCAACTATTTCACTCCGCTACAAGTCTGCCCACATGCTTTCATCTCCTCCTCACATCACATCCTCCAAGTCACCCTTGCACTGACGACCAAATCGCCGCTCCCCTTTCGGCCTGGTTCACTCTAGCGATGGCGTGTCCAGTGATGTCACTTGATGGTTTACTTCCTCAGAGTATGGCCAGCCAATCCATCTCCATTTATTTCCTGCCTATTTGTTGCACAATCGGTTTCTGCTTGGTTGGTTCGATCATTGCCAGAGATCCCGGTTGTTGATCTTTTCTGGCCGGCTATCTGATCCTGAGTATTGAGCGAAGACAACTGTTGATGAAGGCCCGTAGTTTGTTTGTTTGAGGTGCTCTTTATGACGCGCAGTGCAATTTTCTGATCAGTATAGTAAGTAGCACATTTGAGTTGATAATCCGGATCCTATTTTTGATTTTGAGTGCTGTCGACCTCCACACAGACTTGAGAGTAATGAAGGCTTGGCCCGCTTTCCGAATCCTCGCTTTGTTAAAATCCTCATCAGTTCTGTTCGCCTGTAGTCCAGGTAGGTGGGTAGGTAAAGGAGGTTGTTTCTTTCAGGTTCCTCCTATTTATGCTGGCTGATTGTTGTCGGTTTTTGTTGTTGCTGTTGGTGTTGGCCAGGAATTTACATCACCTCTGTTTTATCTACGTTCACCTGAAGTCCTATCTTCTCTGGATGCTTCTTCTGTCGCCAACTTGTTGCTTTTCACTTGCATATCTTCCAGTTTGTGGAAAATCAGACATATGTCATCATCGGCGAAGTCCAGATCCTCCAAGTATTTTGTGTGGGTTCATTTTATGCCTGTTTCCTCGCCGCCCGCTGTCTGTCGCACTATCCAGTCTACTGCAATCAAGAAGATCATTGGCGATAATACTAGTCTTCTTTTTTCAAATCGCAGTGAATGCTGCTTTATGCGATAGTAATAATCGGCTTAAGTGTTTTGATTCCTATCTAATGTATGTCGGAGAATCTAAATCCTCATCGTCAGTGGATAACTAATTGAGAATCACTGGAATGCTAATCGGTGTTATTAGTCTTTAACAGTGCATGAGAATTGTCCTGTAGTGTAGGTTTAAAAAAGCAGAATAAAAACAAAGAACAAAAAAAAGTAGTTACGGTGAAGAGGCTCTTTTTAAAGAATCCATTTTTTTGATATAAAATGGTTGGAGACAATCGACCACAGGAAGCCTTCCAACTAGGTTTCGTTCTAGTTGGCACTCACCAGACAGAAAAGTGTCTCTGCTAACTTGAAAGGATTTATATCCGTTCTGAGATTCGGAACCATATTACCAGCCACTGCTGCAGTCAAAGACGTTACCACTGAGCTTTTCGGGCTTATTTTCATTCATTTTTCTCTTTAGCTGTACAGTCGCATTTATGTACTCTTGTTTTTCTAACGAAAGAGATTAGTAACAATAATGAAGTTGTCATATTTTGAATAATTGGTTTTTGTAAGGATTCTATTCGATTCAGGTTGGGCCATGGATTGATATCAGTTAGAGGACCATTGAAAACCAAGGAATACTGGTCTAACCTGAAACCAATTCTTGAAAAGTAATCTGATGCTCTGTATTGACCGGGCTAGAGGACAACGTTGCCTGAAGTTCTAGTGAGAAGTCTTGACCAGTAGGGTCCATCCAAATGCGAGTGAGAATGGAGTTGCAGCCAATGACATCGGTTGGTGGTCACGTTAAATCATGGATTGGTAGATACTAGAATTCATGTCTGACTGAGTTGGATCCCAGTGGCTGAATGGGATTCGAACTTGCCATATAACCGGAAGGTCCTAGCTTTCAAACCCAGTGGTTGCGTATTGTCACTGAGTTCCAAACTAGGATAAAACAATTGTCCGGTACTCCCTGGTTTCAAGTGATTCTCTAACTGATGTCAATCCGCGGTCGAACCTGAAGTTGTCAGAATCACAATTGTTAGTATTAATGAATCACAAAAGGAGTTGAATTAGTGTATTGAAGTGGCGTAATGTGATGAATACTAGAAACTGTGATAAGTGAACACCTTGTCAATACTGGACATTCTGTCTCAGCATACTTATCCTTTAAGTAATCAAAAATAATGAAGAACAGTCACAACAAAGATAATACGCCTTCGTTTCATTTCGATTGGCTAAGCTCTAGCCATTCAGGTAGACCAATCTGGAGCTCTGCATACAAACTGAAATTGTTTCCTAACTTGATTTTTGCCTATTTGTTTTTCTAATTCTTTATTACTCTTGTATTACTTTTAGAACTCTCAAGAAACTTCACATTTCCTTTTAGGAAGAGGCAAAACACATGCAATTATCAGGTCATTATTATGTCTCAGTCAAGTTATTATCGCGTTATTAACAAGTCGTTGACACGCAGTTGTTCCTGTCTTCTGATTGGGCGCTTGCACAATTCCAACTCTCAACCGGATTGGTTGATTTCCAGTCTACCTTATTTTCTGTATAAATACAGTCACTTTTGTCATAATAAATGAACCTGGTTTTACCGCTGATTCTCGCGTGTTCTGCTTCACCAGTTAAGTGGGCACTGGTCAGCAGTTAAGCAGTGACCTCGTAACAAAAGATCTAGCATCATAACATTTCCATTCATTTTTATGATCATTTTGCTTTATCGAATTAAGTAACTCTAATCCACTTATTTAACTCCTTTTATAACACTGACTAATGTTAGCAACTATGGATTGTGACAGCTTATCGCTTTTGTTACCGCTGTCTTTCATGATAAAAGAAGTTGTATATAAATGTGGTTGTATAGCTAAAGAGAAAAATGAATTCACCAAAAAGAGCCTTTCTACTAAACTACGTATTTTGTTCTTTTCATTGTTGTGTATTATTCATGGATGAAAAACTCAGAATAGGCAGATCTTTTGATGAACTGGCTTTCATTCATTCTGCCTATCTCTCTCCTTATGTCTGAGAAGAGTATGGGGCTTCAAGTATAAGCTTTGAAGTTTAACTAGCATTTGATTTTTTTTTATTTTAACACAGTCGGGCTTTCTAGCCAGAGGTCCAGTCTTCCTCTTAACCCTGATTACTAGCAGCTTAGCAATGTATACGAGTGAACCATCCGAGGGTCAAACTGTGGACCACATACGTGGTTAGCTAGCGCAAAAGTCACCCCTTTACCTAATTTAGTAGAGTAAAAGAGCAAAATAAAATCTACAAGTGTGTTTGAATTTGCGTCTGGTAGTCTTTTTCTGCTGCATCTCAGCGTCTGACCTTCACCAAATAAGTTCCTTTTCATCATAATGTCAAAAACAAGGTCTAATTTGTTGGGAACTTCAGTGCAGATTTACCGGTTTCTGTGCCTCTGTGGAGTTGAATACACACAGACTGTGGCAGTTGGATGAGCGATTGAACAAGTGTCATCAGGGTTGCTGAAAGTAGAGAGCAGAACAGTTCACAGATCGATTTTTGAATACATTATGACCTCTGTTCATAAAAAAGTAGCAGGAGAGACCTCATAGAGAGTCATATATAAAGTAAGATGAATGCTGTCCGATAGGACGTAGGGCTTTTTTAATTCCATGATCTTAGAATCAACCTTATTTACTTTATTTGTCGTATAATTAAGTTCTGCACATTTATTTATCACTCACATTTATTGCTTCATGCTATTAGTCAACGTTTTTACTTTCTCGATTACGCAAGGTTATTCCTTATTTTCCATACACTGTCATTTATCATACAATTCGATTTATTTTTGTTACTTTTGGCCTTGATTGTCAGTTAGCGATGAATACATATAAACTCCTCAGTGACCATTCAGCTATGAAGAGAAGTTGTGAAAAGAAATGTGTTTTTGGTGATTGCGCGTTTTCTTAATTCACTATGGCTAGTCGGCTTTCTGTAGTGCTTTCTTCTACATTTTACTGGCTTAGCTTGTGGTGAAAATCTTCGAATTTTCATTTTTTTTGTAATAGTGTAGAGGCAGAACTTAGTTTTTATTTTCTGCAGGATTGCTCGTTTGGAAAACTAACCTATAGGGATGAGTACGAAATACAAAGGCCCAGCACATCGGAATTTTCGAGTATTTGTTTTGTTGGGATTTTTGTTTCATTGATTGAAGGATTTCATGTCAGCTTATGATGAAATCCTCCAACCAATCAAGCAACCACAATTCCCTGAAAAACCAATAATTCAAAATTTATCTGATTCTCAATAGCGACTAGCCTTATTCAGAAAGTTGACCTGCGCTTCTAGTGAAAAGCGGCGACCAGTAGGTTGCAGTAGGTTGAAGGTGAGGCAGTAAGGCAGAGAAGAAGAGGAAGACATTGTGAAGTGGTCACGCTATGCCATGAATAGGCAAAAGTTAGAATTAATGCACTGACCGTTGGATCAGGTCCCAGTGGCTCAGTGGTCTACGAGCTCCCTGGCCTTGTAACTAGAAGTTCTTGGGTTCGAATCCTGGCGGCGGGTGCTTACTGATGAAGTGTCCCGAACTAGGACGAAACAGCGGTCCAGTACTCTCAGATGGTTTTCCGGTGGTTCTCTAACTGATGTCAGCTAATGATGAGATCCTTCAACATTCTGATTTTTAAAAATAGTCTTTTTACGCCTTCTGTGTTGTTTGTGATGGATGTTTCA